TCCACGGTGATCGGTTTCCACGGAGCAGTGCACTCTGTCCAGGATCGCTGTGCCTACAGTCTGATGGAGTCTGAAGGCAGCGCCAGCTTCAACCTCATGGCCGCTTTCAGGGAGCGCCGGCGTACAGATGTTCCTCTTCTGGACCACCTGATCCTGTCGCTGCCAGGTGTGACCATGTATCTGGAGCAAAGAGGAAGAGTTCGGGTACGTTAGCACGTTGTAGTTATGGGGGTGTTTGCTCAAGCAATGCTGATCATTTCCTGCTAGGAGTTACTTTGTGGTGGTGTATCACAAACCCTCTGTGTGTGTGTGTGTGTGTGTGTGTGTGTGTGTGTGTGTGTGTGTGTGTGTGTGTGTGTGTGTGTGTGTGTGTGTGTGTGTGTGTGTGTGTGTGTGTGTGTGTGTGTGTGTGTGTGTGTGTGTAGGTTGGTGGTGAAGCCCTGGTGCTCAGCAGCACAGCTCAGCTGATGCACGGCGTGGAGCTCTCCAAGGACCAGACTGGAGTCACTGCTAAGTTCCCGTCCTCCAACATGACTCTCTTCTTTGATGGCAACAGCGCACATGTGACAGGTACAGAACAGTACTTCCAATCTGGACTGAATATTACATATTTATTTCTGAATGACAGCTTTAATTCTACCCTCACATCCACCAGGAGTTCCTGAAGCTGTAGAGGGTTTGTGTGGTAGCCCCTCCAACTCCAGGTGGACCACCTCCCCGACTGCAGAGAAGTCCTCTATCAGCCTCCCTGGGTACCGCTCAGTCCGACTGATATGACCTATTTGTCATAATGTGGATTAGGGTTCAGATGTAATGTGATCTTTGTCTCCCTCTAGCTGTGAGATTCAATACCAGGACTCAGTCGACAGCGCCATCAACTGCAACATCTCCACCGACCAGTAAGAGCTGAGCCATGAACACCCTCGTCTTGTCATGTCATATAAGCAGCGTTGTTTCTGCAAGATCAACCAATGTAACACGGAAAACTCTTCCCTCTGAACAGCTGTAATCTCATGAGGCAGCCTCCCTTCTCCGCCTGTCACGAGCACACCGACCCAGAGCCGTACATCAGCGCCTGCACACACACTCTGTGCAGATACCCGTTAGTGGATGGGGTCGACTGCCACTTTTTGGAGGCTTACGCCAAGACCTGCAGCCTGGAAGCCAACGTGACCCTGGAGGACTGGAGGTCAACTACTGGCTGCTGTAAGATTCTCTATTTCCATTCGAGGATATTGCACTGGAACTCGTGCAGTCAAGCAGACATATTTGATCAAATGTATCCTAAAAGTAACCAGAAGCCAAGGCTCCCTAATAAAATGGGAAAATAGTAAAGAAGCAGATAAATGAATGAAGTTAATTTAAAAGTAAATCATTGTGTGTGTGTGTGTGTGTGTGTGTGTGTGTGTGTGTGTGTGTGTGTGTTTGCAGCCCCCACACCTCTCTGTCAGCAGCCCTGCAGTGATCATGAGTTCTGTGGAGAGGTTCACGGTTCGACCCGCTGCTTCTGTCGGGCTCTGTTCGCCTCCAAGTACAAAGCCACCAAGTCTTTAGGTACGGAGCATATCACACCGTTTCCTCTGCTTGCACTGGTCTGAATTAGGGATTTGGTTATTTACCACCAGCCTGCTGCTAACAGCTGTTTTGATGCTGAGCTCTGCCAGAAATAACATATTGTTTAGTGTGGAATTTAGAAACAGCTTTCATTATAGTGCCAAATACATTCTGTCAGTAACTCCACTACCCGTTATAGTCCATGTTGAAGTGTCGGTGTGTCGTTGAAGTGTCGGTGTGTCGTTGAAGTGTCGGTGTGTCGTTGAAGTGTCGTTGTGTTGCAGGCGATCCCACGGTCTGCAGGCAGAACTCGGCCTCTGTGGTTCTGGCTGGATGTCTGCTGGACGACAAACGCATCGACTTCTCCACCTTACAGCTCAAAGACCCCAGCTGCAAGGGCCACATGGACCCCCAGAGCCACCTGGTGACCTTCAGGTTCAACAACAGCGCCCCCTGCGGGACGGAGGTCATGGTGCGTGGTTATCACTTCCTCTAGACTCATGGCGGGTTATCTTCAGAGCGTTTTTGGGCAAACGAGAAGCATTTAAAGCTGCTTTAACTGAGTCCTGTTCAGTTGGTTATTGACACCTGCAGCACTCAGAAGAGCTGGAAGGTTGTTCTGCCTCTTTATGATCGATGGAAGGGAAGGCACAGGCTTCAGCCACCCTGTTTAACTTTAATTAAATACTGGGAGAGCATCTCCTCTAGTTCCCTTTATTGATTATAGACCATGTGATTTATGACCTGGATGGTTTGGACTGTGAACTCCAACACTGACCGTTCTCTGCCAGGATGGAACCGTCAGCAGTGAGCACTGGAATAATGTGGCCGTTAAATGAACTCATTTTCTGTCACATTGCAGAGAAACAACAGCCAGATCGTCTTCAAGAACTCCATCATGTTCTCGAACAGCTCATCAGGCGGAGTCATCACCCGCAGAGACCAGTTCCAGATCGACTTCTCCTGCAAGTACACACAGCCAGGGGTCAGGAGTGTGTACTTCAGGATCAAAGAGAGGTGAGCGTCACCTGGTCCTTAACCTGTTAAGCCCGAGAGACCCCGGAACTGGGGCACTGCCTCAACATCTTGCAGGAAACAGTGTCTGAGGGCATGTTCATTTAATAAAACTATGAATGTTTTATATCCATGTAACGGGAAGAAACTCATCTAACTGATCATTTTAATTTTTTTTTCAAAAGAAAACCCACAATGCTAACACTGAGCCTCTGAATTAGCAACGAGCGAAGAATGCTAACACCTTCCTGCACCGAAAATCACTCATAAAATCTTATTATTTATCATTTCACCACATCCAACACATCGTTTCACATCGTGAGGTGACACAGAATCTAACGACATCGACATTACCACTTAATTATACGTATTTGTGACGTTATAAGCAAAAACGGACATCAAAACAGGTGACGCTAGGTAGCTAAAAATGCTAACATTTTTACCTTGGATCTGTAGTCTCTCCAAAGTGGTCTTCAATGGCATTAAAACGATAAAAACGCTGCTGAAGTTAATCCATAGGTTAATCTAATGTGTCTGTGTCCCTTTGAAATGATTTCTGATAATCCATAAGCATTAAAACTGCTTTTCCGTTTCCAGATGTCAAAGCTAGAGATAGGTCCACTCTGATGGAAAATTACATGCGCGAAGCCCCCACCTCTTCTCTTCACAATGTGTGTGTGGGGGACTCCCCCTTCGATTTTATTGGCTCTAACGGTCAGAAAGAGGTGTCAACAACCAAAATTGAGCAAGGGGGGCCAGAGATATGGAAAATCTACCCAAATGACCCCAGAAGTGGTTTATTTTTGCTAAATCTCTCTAAAAAGGTCAAATGTCACTTGTTTTGCATCAATCTTGATACAGGGTACTTATTATATGTTGTACTTTGGATTCCTAATGCTTTTAGTCTACTAACCCATCATCCAAGGGTAGTTTTCACTATAAGTAAAAAAGAATTTTTGGACGGACACTATAATTTACAGTTTTTTACTATGTAAAATCTGAATTTTCTTTGAAATAAAAAACATCTATATTGATTCTGACTTTTCTACATCCAACTCACAGGTTTATCATTACTTTGAGAAAAAAGATTATTAATTTAACCCTTTTAGAAGGGAAGATATGGTCGTTTGTTCTGGGAATGTCATTTTCGAGCCTGAGACCTGAAAAACAGGCTCAGGGCTTAACAGGTTAATGTACCACAGATCCAAGCGTCACACTGATAAACTGTGTGTGTGTGTGTGTGTGTGTGTGTGTGTGTGTGTGTGTGTGTGTGTGTGTGTGTGTGTGTGTGTGTGTGTGTGTGTGTGTGTGTGTGTGTGTGTGTGTGTGTGTGTGTGTGCAGCTCTGTGGTGCAGCACATCGTATCTGGAGAGTGGAACTACACTCTGACGATGAGCTCCTTCAGTGACGCCGGCCTCCTGCAGCCGGTCGGCCCAAGCACGGAGATCCTGCTGAACCAGAAGGTCTGGCTGCAGCTGGAGGCGGTGGGGCTGGACGCCAACATGGTCACCATGGTGACAGACTCCTGCTGGGCAACCAATCAGGCATCACCTGACGGTAATCTGCGATATGACCTCATCATCAACGGGTGAGGAAACAAACTCTGACTGTTAGAACAAAATAAACTCTGACTGTTAGAACAAAATAAACTCTGACTGTTAGAACAAAATAAACTCTGACTGTTCGAACAAAATAAACTCTGAGACTTCATCTTGTGTATTTCCTGTCTCCGAGCAGATGTCCGAACCCTGCTGATGATACGGTGCAAATGCAGGGAAACGGACAGGGAACGTCCAGCGTTTTCTCCTTCAACATGTTCGAGTTCTCTGGAGGAAGCAGTGAAATCTACCTGCACTGCAAACTGGAGCTGTGCCCCACACAGGGCCAGGCCTGCACTCCGGTACACACAGAGTACTAATACACAGAGTACTAATACACAGAGTACTAATACACAGAGTACACAGAGTACTAATACACAGAGTACTAATACACAGAGTACACAGAGTACTAATACACAGAGTACTAATACACAGAGTACTAATACACAGAGTACACAGAGTACTAATACACAGAGTACACATACACAGAGTACTAATACACAGAGTACTAATACACAGAGTACTAATACACAGAGTACTAACACACAGAGTACTAACACACAGAGTACTAACACACAGATTACTAATACACAGAGTACTAACACACAGAGTACTAATACACAAAGTACTAACACACAGAGTACTAACACACAGAGTACTAATACACAAAGTACTAACACACAGAGTACTAACACACAGAGTACTAATACAACTGTGTGAAGATAGAGTAAACACAGAGTACTTACACACAGAGTAAAGCTAACTTCCTGTCTGTGAAGCTAACTTCCTGTCTGTGAAGCTAACTTCCTGTCTGTGTACAGAGCTGTAGGGGGGCAGCTCGCAGGAGGCACAGATCTGCTAAATACTCTGATGGGAACGCGGCCATCATCACTATGGGATGGAGTAACTGAAGAGCTGTGCATGGTAGGCAGCTCCTTCATTTGTTCTTCCTAACGAGTTCCTTGATTAACACAATGTTTAACGAGTTCCTTGATTAACACAATGTTTAACGAGTTCCTTGATTAACACGATGTTTAACGAGTTCCTTGATGAACACAAAGCAGCAAAGTATAAACCATGACTCAGCAGTGTCTCTGTGTTCTCAGCTGATTCCTGACGGTGGAAATGAAGGTCTTGTTGCTGTGAAACTGAGCCGGCACATTATCTGAGATTATTCCTGAGGACTCCAGTTATTCTGAGTTTTAACTTCTTTATGATGTGGGGGAAATAATCAAAAGGGGTTCTTTTACTATGTGCACTAGTATATATATATATATATATATATATAATTTCTTCTTTAATATACTGTCTGTTTGTAAATGTGCACAGCCTGAAAGCTACCTGAGTGTTAAAGAAGGGAAACAGGAAGTGAATGAGAACTGAAATGTGGATGACTACCCAGGAAGAGGATCAGATCAGATGTAATTCCTCAGAGCACGCTGTTGTACTTTTATTATGATTGTATTACTATGAGCAAAACATGTATTACTTTATTTAGTCCAATGATAATAAGATTGAGATATGTAACATCTTTAGGGGAATAATAGAAGTGAAGCATACAGCAGCATTACGCAACAACATCCCCTCCAATGAAACACACAGGATCAGCTGATACGAGGAACTCCTACACAACACAAGTCATTCAGTGAAAGATCACCTCTCTGCCATTAGACCCAGATTAGATGAGACGTATTACCTGTCACTGCTGGCAACATCAGGACATATACGAGTACTGCTCAGATCAAATGACGGTATAGCCAAACATCGATGTATTATTTACAATGATCCCAATCCACAGCAACATGGTCTAAAACTCTACGCTCATTTGATATATTTGTTTTTCCAAGAATAAAATGAAGCGCAGATCAAAAATGAAAACACGAAGAAGCACAAAACGTCTTAACTTGAGACGTTGTGAGTTTTAAAGAAGTGAATTATTATCAGACTTAAGTCATTCCCAATGGAGAGGTTGTTGCACGCTGTTGTACCTTTACTAGGGTTGTATTACTATGAGCCAAACATACTTTACTTTATTTAGTAATACATGGATTATATTTAGAAATGTAACATCTTAATATGTGTCCGATGAAGAAAAGTGATCAGAAAAGGGTTTTATTAGGATGATTTTATTACTATACGCAGAAAGGTTAGGGTTAGTTCACCAAGTGATGTGACGTATGAATACCATTCAGTCATTGAGCAATTATATCTATAAATGTAACAATTAGATTTAGAAATGTAACACCTTTAGTGAAATAACAGAAGTGTCTAATGAAGGGTTTAGAGGGGTTCACTGGTATATATATATGTATATATATATAATTTATTCTTTAATATACTGTCTTCTTTTAAATGTGCACAGCCTGAAAGCTACCTGAGTGTTAAAGAAGGGAAACAGGAAGTGAATGAGAACTGAAATGTGGATGACTACCCAGGAAGAGGATCAGATCAGATGTAATTCCTCAGAGCACGCTGTTGTACCTTTATTGTGATTTTATTACTAATGGAACCAAAAACAATTAATAAAGTGAGTGGGAAAAAGAAACATGAGTCTCAGTCGTATAGTCATTGAGTGTGTGTGTGTGTGTGTGTGTGTGTGTGTGTGTGTGTGTGTGTGTGTGTGTGTGTGTGTGTGTGTGTGTGTGTGTGTGTGTGTGTGTCTGTGTGTTAATGTTTGATCAGCACTGCCTATTTTTTTATTCGAGTTTGGGAAGATTCCGCTTGAAGTTAAGCACAAAATGGCATCCGTCTGTTGTAAAAACGATCTCAAAGCTAGACAGTGCACTAAAATACATTTCTGCAAACTTTTGAGTAGAGAAATAAACAGGACAGTAACAGAATCTTGAATAATGTTTGATCAGCACTGCCTATTTTTTTAGTTTGATCCGAGTTTGGGAAGATTCCGCTTGAAGTTAAGCACAAAATGGCGTCCGTCTGTTGTAAGGCCAGAAATAAACAGTTGTAGAGCCGATGAAAGGGAGTCAGAGGCGGTGTGTTCAGTATGGAACTCCACACTTTATTATCCATTAGACAGAAGACAAGGTAAGTAACATCTGCTTGTTGCTACTCAAGCTAGCATGAATGACACCAAACCCGGTACCCTCACTAACGGGTCCGGGTTGCAACACAATAATCCCAACGGTGAATTATGTCCCATAACGTGTCACCACACAGTACAGTAACAGAATATTGATTTGTGTTTGATCAAGACTGCATATTTTACCAGTTAAAATACGTTTTTTTCAGCCTTGGTTGAGAAAAAGGACACCATATGATGGCTGTATGTTCAGAAACTTTCAAAACCAGAAGCACATACATTTTGTGTCAGTTATTTATAATTTGTAACATTGTAAGCATGTTTTTAATAAGCAGAAAAGCTCTTATAACATGAACGGCATGGTGGTTTTAGTTAACGTTAGCTACCTTTGCTATTAGCTAACATTAAGATTAGCCTGCCAAGAGTTTTAGCTATATTGACCTTATAAACCAACACATTCTCACTCCCAACTCGCCTCTGTTGACGTTATGTCAGGGTCCCTGTCGTCACTTTCCAACGCAAAGGGGGGCCCTTTAGCGTCGAGTTTCAACTATCACGGAGTCCCATTGACTTGCATAGAGCTCCCTGAACGTTGGTAATAGACGAGTTGGGATCGCGGCGAAATGCTCTCCGCAGTTCCATTCTCAGAGCGTTTATCAACCTTTTTCTAACTCAATATCAAGCCACACTTATTGTGTTTACTTCTTTATTTTAATTGAATAATGTCTGACTTTTGTTGCCATCATTTAGGGGGAGAGTAGGGGCTCAGAAAACTGAAATCTGTATTGTTTCATAGTTTTTTCCTTCTAATTTTGTATTCTTTTCTAAACCACACACTGTTATTTACTCAACAATAAGACACAATTATTCTTGTATATTTGTTTGATTCTATAATGTCGGACTTTTGGAGTCCGTCAGGACCGAGGGTCGGAGCAGCTCATAGTAGTTGCTTAAAGTGGACCTATCATGGTATATTTAAATGATATATTGTAGGGCCATACCTATATAAGGTATATTTATACGTTTCTGTTTTCAAAATACCAAACAGATCATGCATTTTAGCCATGCCTCATTTCGCTCAATTTGCACTTTTTTTTTTAGCTCTGCTCTGCAAGGGCAGATTCAGTGAGAACAGCACCATCTACCGGCCTGGCATATGTACTACAGCGTCTCCAGCGCTTTCGAACGGCAATGGCCGTGGCTGTCTCCTCCTGATTGGTGGAGTTGGGCCAATAGCCGTAGCGCCACTGTCCTGACGTCAGGACAGTGTTCAAATCTGGATCAGTTTTTATCAGATCCGTTGCAGCCTCTTTTTTAGAGATTTGGGTATGGAGGAAAATAGAGAGGGTTGTGTTTTCTGACACTTGGTGAGTTCCCTGGAACACCGGGGACACATATTCATGTATAAAAGACATACAAAAGTACATTTTGCATGATAGGTCCCCTTTAAAGGGCCCATGTCATGGCCATTTCCACTGATCATAATTACATTGTTGAGGTATACTAAAATAGATTTATACTGTGCAATTTTCCAAACTCACATTGGTTTCGCATACAGCATCTCTGTCAAGCATGTGTATTCAGCAGTATTCACTTTCTCCACTAAACGACTCGTTGGAGCTCTTGCCCCCCCCTCCCTGTGAGCCTAGTGTGCTCCGATTGGTCAGCTCGGCCACTCGTTCTGATTAGTCAACCACCAGAGAGGCTGCGCCCATGTCAGTGCTTTTCCCGGCTGCTCTCAGCGTAACATCAGTCTTATCATGGCGTCGGTACAGCGGTATATTTTATATACATATATATTTTTAACTGTTGTTATAGAAGAGTGTGACGGCCCCAGGGCCTTTGTCTTACGATGGGGTGGAGCTGAAGAGGGTAATCAGCGCGATCACGGACACCTCCGGACACTACGGCCCCAGTCTCTCTCCAAAGCGGCTGCAGGAAGACTAACTCTGCGATCCTCTCAACCACCTATCTTTGCATTTACCACAATAAATGTGCCGTGGTTTTGTAAACTCGTGTATGTCTCCTTGTCTTTCCGTTGTGGCCTACGAGCTACTCTCATAACAAAGAGTAAGTTATTTTTACCCGTTATAAACTACTACTGTTTGATGAGAAATCAAATCATGGTTTGCTATATATGAATTCAGGGAAGAAAGGATAGGCCTACTAAGTATTTCCATTAAACTTTATTTTTAGAAATGTACAAAATGAACATAAATATACATATATACACGGTATATCATCCATTCCTCCTCCTCTTGCCTGCGCACAGCCGGTGCGGTGCGGTGCCTTTTAGCACGAGCCCTCAGTAGTAGTAGAATCCCTTCCCCGTCATGGATTGTCCGCCAGGATCTGGCTGGACGAAATCAAATGCAAATCACAAAATATTAGAGAAACTTAGTTGTTTTAGATTCGTTAGTAGTAGTTGTGTAATGAACAGCTTGCCTGCTAATATGCTAACCTAGCTTTGTTTACCTTGGTAGCTAACACGATATGAACGTTAGCTTGGAGGAAAGGCAACTATAATGCAGTGTAATAAAACTACTATGAACAAAAGCTAGTGGTTCATATTAGGCTAGCAATAACGTGTTTATAATTGCAATCGTATACGGGTATTCTGCTACCATACAATGTAACTTGCATGAATACATTGTTTTGCGCTAGCATACAGCTAGCCTCGTTAGCTACATGCAGTATATGTACGGTCACAATGTACGGTAAACCGGAGTATACTGTATGAGTATTCCGTGTGTGTGACTGCAGACATTCTCCTGCCATGACAAACATGTAAGGCCATCTGCTGACATTGTAGTTGATATATTTAAACGCTAGCAACGTAGCATCACAAAAATGTTTTTCTGACCAAAACTAGCTCAAGCTCCGTGTGTTAGATCGCTACGCCAGCTATAATGTAATTACGTTTCGCGACTGACCGGCAAATCACCCGCAGTATACTGTCAATAGGTATTTTGTGTGTGAATGCAGACATTCTCCTGCTATGAGATACATGTATGCAAGGCCATCTGCTGATATTAGAGTTGATATATGGAAACTCTAGCAACTTAGTTAGCACAGTTAGCACTGTGTCAATGGCTTAGCAGTCCAACACAGTTTACACATTTAAACAGTCTTGTTTGATAAATACACAAATAACAATGCAAACTTACAGGTTGTATACCCAGATCTTCCCCTGCTCCAAACGGTCCAAACAAGCTGTGCATATCCGGCCTCAAACTGGGCAATGTTTTGGAAGCTTTCGTCTGTGAAATGCCGGTTCTTCGAACCTCTGGAGGAGGAACACGCCGCTGCTGGAGTGGCCATAGCTCTTCGGGATTGGTCCATTTCGTTCCGGGTACCGCATGACATCAGGCGGTACCCGGAACTAAATGGAAGACTCAAATGGGCAGTGACGTATCTCCAACGAGGCGTTTTGGGGAGGTATTTTCTGTGTTAGAGTTTTACTCGCTACAGGGTGTACTTTGAGGGTTTTGACTCTGCACACCGTTTACATGCATAAAAACCTTCATAACACACAAGGGGACGGGTAATAACCGGAAAAGCATGACATGGGAGCTTTAAGATAATTTTATACCCGGAAGTAAGTATTCTCTCCGCTTTGCTCAAACCCCGTGATTAGTCCTCAAGCTCTGTGATTGGATGTTTGAGTGGCAGTGCGCCGAGGGTTACGCCGAGCGTCAAACAGCACTTTGAAATGGGATGGAACCACGGCAGACTATCCAAAACTGGATTTGGATGGGTCCACCACCCCCCTCCCCCACCCCGTCCCCAGAACTACCCATGCTGGCTATTGTGTGTTTCGCAACATGTTCTATGGCACGTCTCTACTGGGAATTGTAGTTTTAAAAGACGTTTTCGTATTTCCCATAATAAGAAGTTGCCGGTATTAAACTGTGTACATCCCTGGACGTTTAGGGGATAGGAAACACTCACATTTAAAACATATAATTAATAAATGGGTGAAAATTGCTTGTGTCCATAATGGGCAGCATTACTATATACCCACATGACTGCTAAGGTCAGAAGAGCTTTATTTAACAGCTGGTCTTATGTCTGTGACCCCTCCTGTTAATTGATAAGCCTGAAACATGCACTTGTCAAGGTTCAGAGGCAAATTTTGCAAATATGGCAGTAGCCATCGATCATCTTAAGATAAGGTATACTTTATTGATCCCAAGTTGGAAATGTTTTCGTTACAGCAGCATGTGTAACAGTTGTAACTAGAGAATGCAATTCCTGAAGAAATTGCTAGTGGGAATGCTTTATGCTGAAAAGTAATGTGAGTAGTTATACATATGCCCCTTCCATCACATTAGTATGCATAAAAAGTGACAGGTCACATCCCCCCACTACTTATGCAAATGACCTCCTTTGATATGCTAATGAGCCCCTTTGTCCGAGGTGTTATCGCGTGTAATAATAATAATAATACATTTTATTTTTAGGCGCCTTTCATGACACCCAAGGACACCGTACAATTCGTTAAAAAA